GGGGGGGGGGGCTTGCACCGCCTGGCGGGACGGCGGCCGCCCCCGGCCTGTGTGGGACCCCCCCTCAGCCAGCGCGGAGTAGGGTGATGGCCTGCAGGCTCCGGCTGGTGGGATCGGCCCACGTTGGCCGGGCCGCGGTGGGGGAGAGGGAGCCACGGGCAGGCGCGGGGAAGCCTCTGCCCGGCCCCAAATTGGGGCGGGGGGGGCTGTAGTGTTCGGGGATGCTTGGCCGCTTAATGGAGATAGCGGGAAGTGTGCCGGCATGGAGGGGTGAAGGGGGAGGGCCTCTGCTCATCCCAGAGCCTCCTGTTAACGTTTCCTGGGGAAACGGAGTTGGAGGGAAAATAGTAGCTTTTTCTTGCCGAAAGAAGACTTGCGTGTCCCCTGTGTGGTTGGAAAGGTCAGGTTTGCTGTAGTGTTTTGGCGTTTTGGAATGATCGTGTCTTAGTTGATTTCTTTCTGGAAGGTACTTCATAGCCACGAGGTTCTGCTGTTACCTAGATCTTTTGAATTTGCTAGCATATATACCTAAAGGCATATGTATCTCTCTATGTATCTTTCCGTCAGTATCTCCCTTGAGTTCCTGCCTTTCAGTTTTGTCATAATTTTTAAAGCTCTAGCTGCTCAGATGTTAGTGATAGTGATCTCTCTAGAATGTCTCACAGGCTGGGGCTTTTTGTCAGTTACTACTGGAAGCCTAACTTAAAGATAGTATTAAGCAACAATAGATTTCTCAGGTTGTCTCCTGGATAATTGCACTTCATAAGGTTGGTTTTTTGCTGTGTGAAAGTGACAAGTTAACGTTTCTATGTATCTTTCCATCAGTATCTCCCTTAAGTTCCTGCCTTTCAGTTTTGTCATAATTTTTAAAGCTCTAGCTGCTCAGATGTCAGTTATAGTGATCTCTCTAGAACGTCTCACAGACTTCCAGTAGTAACTGACAAAATGCCCCAGCCTAACTCAAAGGTAGTATTAAGCAACAATAGATTTCTCAGGTTGTCTCCTGGATGATTGCACTTCATAAGGTTGTTTTTCTGTGTGAAAGTGACAAGTTAATGTCTTAAAGGATAAGTATAGCTTTCCTCTAGGGATGTTCTTCAGGTATATGCAAAGTCATTGCTGCTGGTTGTCAAACCAGAGTTTTCCTGGAGTTGGGGAGTCTTGCACTCTAGAACTGCTTTTGAGGAATGTGCTTTTTAAGCTCATATATTTCTGTGGAGAGCCTGTCAAATTTTCAGCTGTCATTTAGAGTTTGCATGTTAACTCTTAATGTTTTTATAAAAGTTGATAAACAGTGAAAGCCCATAATGTTTTTTACAAACAGACAAAATGGATCGTTAGTCACTTAACTTTTTCCAATATATTAGGATGTGTATACTTTGTAAGACAATATTTTACTGATGTGTCAGACTAATTGTGATGACTGGCATTTTTGTTCTTTCACTTCAGTGTTGTGTTTTAGCTTTGTAAGGAAAGAAACAGTTCTCTACTAGACAATGAATTGTGTAGTAGAAGTTTAAAGTTATGTCAATTATAACATGTTTAACCTGTGAATATTGGTTTTTTTTTCCTTCTGCTCCTTGAAGTCGCTTGACGGGTGAGGAAGGCAAAGAATTCACTGCAGATGTCAAAAAACACTTTCCAAAACTTTGCAGAGTGTTTAAGGTATGTCTTTTCCATTCAGTTTTCTTCAATGAACAAAGATACGTTTAAGTGCTCGAGGTCAGTGGCCATTGTAAAACTTGAATTCCAGTTCATTTAATAAGACTTCAAGCTAGTGACATACAGTAGGGTTTGTTGGCAAAATATATTTTCCATATTATTAGAAATTACGACAGAAAAATAGAATGCAAGGTCTTGGATATGTTCAGGCCGTGTCATGCAGTCAAATCTGATTTTCCAGCTAGAAAAGATACAGTATGTTCTGCCTATAGAAACGCTTCTGGAAGTTGGAATCTGCAATGTCATTTTTTTTGAAGATTAATGTAAAGACTGTTCTTAGCCATCTTTTTTCCCCTCTGTTTCGGATGTTTAAAAACAATTGGAGAGTGAAGTGCTAGTACATGGCAAGTGAAGAAGTAAAAAACTTTGGATGTGTAGAACTTAATTCAGTAAAGATGTCTAAATTACAGAGAATAAAAATGTCTTCAGAACCTCAAACTGTTTTATTGGTTTGGAGCATCTATAATCAGGAAGGGTTTCCTCCAGGGGTGCATTTTTCATCAAGTGTTTGCTTTTGACAGCTCCTGCTGCATTGAGTTGCTGTTAAGACAATACTTCACAGCTACTTCTGTAAACTAAGACTTTATGTATATGTTTTTTTTTTTTTTCAGGCACACATTTCTGATGAAAACTCAGCGCTAAATAATGCAGCTTTACAGGCGTTAGGATTCTGCGTTTTTAATTCAAGTGTTACGTCTGCATTATCTGGTAAGTAAACAAACTTCAGTGGGGATGCTCATAGTGTGTGTGTGTATATATATATTTTTATGTCTTTGTTAGCATATACTTTAATTTTGACCAAGTTTACAGTTCCCAAGTGGTGCAGTGGTTTTGTCTCTAGTATGAGCAGTGTGATCAGTTGATAAATTCTATCTTGTACAAAAAAAACCTGTAATGTTTTTTTAATGGTATTATACTAATACTGTTTTACTAACTTGAGTTTCACTGAATGCTTTGGTAGCAGTTAGGTACTACAATTACTTCGGTGGAATTAGTAATTAAAATATGTCCATGTGGAAAAAGAATGAAAAACCCTTTTTTGTTTGTAAAATTTGGGTATCCGTGGTAGTGCTTTTCAGTGTTTTCCAGCCTTTACCTGGTGATTCCTGGTTGTTACATTAAATCATAGAATGGTTTGGAAGGGTCCTTTACAGGTCATCTAGTCCAACCCCAAATATTGTGCTGGTAAATATTTCCTATTGAAATAATTTAAAGTTATCAAAAATATTTTGGCATACATTCCTAGAAAGCATTAGATACCTCTAATAAAAGTTTTGCTGCTGAGAACTTGAGGCTATGTATAAAGGTTAAAACCACTGGAATTATAAAAGTTTTGCTGCTGAGAACTTGAGGCTGTGTATGAAGGTTAAAACCACTGGATATTTTAATAGGGGAGAGCTAATGTCCAAGACCTTGGAGGTACCTGTAACATGTTTTAGGGGTCAGGGCATGTCCAGTGGAAGTAACACAACCAGAAACTGCAACTCTGTGTGGTTGTCTTTCGTGGGCACAGAAGGAAATGTGTTGTGAATTGGCTGTTGTGTGGTGCCTTGATCCTGCTGAAGTCTATAGTGACTCTTCAAATGGTAATAACAAATAGCACACTGTCAATTATTCTTTCTTCTGAGAAGTGTTAAACACTCTTGGACAAATGTTGTGGAATGACCTTTATTAGAGAGGAACTTAATCTCAGGCAAGACAGAGCAAAATCATATATGTGGATGAGCAGAGAGCATTTTTTTTCATGTGCCTGCCATTCTGTTTATTGAAATTGGTTCTTTCAATTCTTCTACTCAAATTTTCAGTGTGTCTTACTTTCCTGTTAGAGAAAATTTAGCCCAATTTCCTGTGAGAATGAGGCATCTATAATAATGTCTGTGTGGTCCCTTTCTTTTCCCCCATATTTTTTTTTTTTAACCGGGTGATAAATTGCAGTCAGTTTTGTTAGAGAATGTCAAGTTTTCAGAAATAAAGTCCTGAAAACAGTGAAGAGTTAGGGAGAGAGGACAAAAAGCACGTGTGCTCTTGATCGAGGGAACAAGCATATCTGAGCTTATGTTTCTCTGCTACTGTGAGATCATTTACCTACAAAGCCCAAATTTGTAATAAATCAGGGCTCATTCGTTTTGAATTTTAAATGAATACATTACTTCTCCATCTGTCTTCCTAATTGCATGTAAGTACTTAGGTCCCAAAATGACCCAAAACCTGCTGATTAAGAAGCTGACTAGAATTGCATGATGACCTACAAAGCCCAAATTTGTAATAAATCGGGCTTCATTCGTTTTGAATTTTAAATGAATACATTACTTCTCCATCTGTCTTCTTAATTGCATGTAAGTCTCGCGATGAGTATGTAGGTCCCAAAATGACCCAAAACTTGTAGATTAAGAAGCTGATTAGAATTGCATGATCAGAATTTGAGCGCTGTGCATTCTGTTTTCAGCAACTGAAATAGGAGACTTGCTTTCAACGGTGAACAGTGTTGCTGTAAAAACTTCTGACAAAAACACTCGCACTCGGGCACTTTGGGTGATCTCTAAGCAGGCGTTTCCTTCTGAAATTGTTAAAAAAGAGGTAAGTTTCTTTGCCTTTTTTTTTTTTTTCTGCAGCCTGATTTCCTAGGGAGATGAGGCTTGTGTGATCTTTTGGTCACTCTTCACTGGGTAGGTTTTAAATCTGAAGATTGTTTTCCATCAAATTTGACAGCAAAGTGTAGGGCTTAAGCTCTTGGATAAATTCTAATGGCAGCTACAAAGGGAAAAGAGCCAACAAAAATTGTTGCTTCTCCTGAGGGAGAAGCTACAATGTGAGCAATTAGATACCAGTGAAGCACCATGGGGGAGAAATGCTGTGAATCTTCCAGTTCAGTTACACTTGCTCAGTTTGCTCTAACCTTAAAACTAAGACCAAGCATAATCCAAATACAGGGCACAGTCCTGGGAACCCAGATTTCATAATTCCAGCTCCTCATGGAAATAGTTGTATTTAGGTGCTCACTCTAATGTTGTCCTTATTTCCTCAGGTGTCCAATATAATTTCTACTCTGGAAACAATTCTTACTAAAGGAGATGTACAGTCTATGGTGGTTGAATATGAAGCACTAAATGTTATTATACGGTACGTGCACTGCAATTCTGTTGAAATAGATGCTTAGTTTTTGGGGGAGACTATTGAAACAAAATGTTAGTGGCACTAAGAATTCTAAAGAAAATTTTTTTCGACGCTCTTTGAATGGTTCAATACGTTCAAGACTGTTTTCCCCACGGTGTGTGGTGTTACAGTCAGTAGAGCAGAGTGAAAACTACCATCTCTATTTCTGTCTCTTGGCCCGTGGTTCTCCTGAACCGCTTCATTTGCAAAATATTCCATTAATGATAATACCACAATTGATTTTGACACAGAAAGTAATCAATATTCAGATAAACTTTCATTGCTTTCATTTTTAGTGGCTTATTGGGAATTATTTCCAAAGTGTCATGTGTGCTTCACAAGTCATGATCTTACATTCTAGCTTTTGTTTTCACAACCTAACCTCCTTGAGAATTTCTCAGCCATTGTATGAGGTTTTATTTCAAAATGCCCATGTGGTGCTTTACAGATTTTACTGTAATGTTTCCTATAACACTGCTGAGGGTACCTTTTAGGACCAATACCAAGAATGTGTTGTTTTCATCAGCAGTGCTGAATAGTCACATTTTATCTTTACTTAGTATTAATACTTATTATGAATTTAATTTCTTTATTAGTAGATGTGCAGAGCTTTTATCTTTACGCTTTTTTAAGCTCGTTAGCTTCCCTGTGTGATGGTGTAAAGAAATGGAATTGTTTGTCATACTGTGCTGTAACAGCTCAGGAACAGAGGGATAAGATAAGAACACTCCACTAGGCCAGTGTCCACCGAGTCTGTGCAAACCTGTTTCAGGGTTTGGGTTGTTTTTCAAAAGCAGGCATAGATTGTTTTCGGCACGTGAGGCCTGTTGGAGCTGGTCTGGATAACTATGAACACACAGGGGATGGTTCATAAGCAAACTTTGTACTTGGTCACTGATAAGGGAGTGATGGTGTGTTTCCTTCAGGCTCTCAGTTCAGCTCATTTGTCCAAAAAGTTGTGACAGAATGGAAGGGGCAACTAAATGTCAGTCTATTCTGCTTTTGGAGAGGTTTATCTGAAATAATGGTAATGAAATAATTCTTCAGAATTGTGGTTTTAAGTGAACTGTCAAAATACAATTGTTTAGAAAAATAAAAAAAAAAAATTGAATGGTTTCCTGTAAATCATATGTTGGATTAGAGCGTTTATTGCTGATACTAAGATTATCCTTGAGTGTCTGAGCAGTATGTCTGCTGGAGGCTTGTAATACCTATATTTCTTTTTTGGATCTAGCTTAATGGAGCAAACTCCAGCCCAGATGGGAGAGGAGGCTGTGAGGTGGGCAAAGCTGATCATTCCTCTGGTTGTCCATTCGGCTCACAAGGTGCAGTTACGAGGTGCCACGGCTCTGGAGATGGGCATGCCACTGCTCCTCCAGAAACAGCAGGAGGTAGCGGCCATCACTGAGCACCTAATGACCACAGTAAGTGGAAAAGCTGTGTAGAGGCACCAGGAGTAGTAATCGGGGTTCTTGGTTGGTTGGGGGGCTTTAATTTTAGTTACAGTCTAGATAGTGGCAGCAAAAAGCTACTGTGCGTTGACAGCAGCTTCTTGATGGCTGCAGGTTCAGCAGAAAAAAATTCAGTAACAGCAATGTAAATGTAGGATAACTGTATAAAAAAGAAATGATGTTTCTGAGAAGAATCACTGATCAGGAAAATAGCTTGTCGTTTTAAAATTTTTTAATACAAGACACCTGTCTTGTCATAAATATCATTAAACTTGTATTGTCTCTTAAAGAATGTGTTTACTGAACTAGAATCAGCAAAACCTGGTGTGGTGGTAACTCACATCATTTAGCTCAGCTTCCTACTCAGAACAAGGTTGGCTTCAAAGTTAAGGCCAGGTTGTTCAGGGCCATGTCCAGTTGAGGTTTGAGTATGTTAAAGGATGGAGACTCTACAACCTGTCTGGGCAGCTTGGTCCAGTGTTTAATCACCCTCGTGGTAAAAATAGGATTTGCCTTGTTGAAACTTGTGTCTGTTGCCTCCAGTCCTTCTCTGAAGCATCTGGCTTCTTCCTCAAATCCAGCTATAAGTAGTGGAGGACTGCAATTATAATCTTCCCACCCCAAGCTAAACAAGCCTAGCTCTTCTGTCATGAGCTCTGTCCCCCTGAATCATTGGTGGTGTTAAATCATCTCAGCCCTTGTTGACCCTTTATAAATCACACACATAAACTGGAATCTGAACTGCTGGCCACTAGCCTTTGAGCCTACCACCATATAATCTGACTAGTTTGGATCTCCCCAGCTGGGCTACATGGAGGAGACTGTCCAAAGCCTTGCTAAAGTTGGGGTGGAGAACATCTGCCCTCCCTGCATCTGCAAAACCAGATATTTCCTCATAGAAGCCAGTCAAGTCAGAAAAGCAGGTTTTGCCCATGGTGAAACTATGCTGGCAGTTTGTAAGGACCATCTTGTTCTTCCATGTGCCTAGCAATGGCTTCTGAGGGAGTTTGCTCTGTAATTCTTCCAGGCATGGGAGTGATATTGGCTACCTTGTAATTCTCTGGATCCTCTATTTTGCTTTTGTTTTGGTTTTTTTTTTTTTTTTGCATTGGTTGGTTTGAGTTTTGGAAGCTGGCATAAAATTTGTCTTGCCCTACCCCATCATGGGGAATCTCTACAGTGACTCTCAAAACATAATAGTGTAGCCTTGTTGTGTCATGAGCCTTCTTCAGCATTTTTGGTTACACCCTGTAGAGTTTGATGGATTTGTGTCTATCAAGTTTACTTTTGTAGTCCTCAACTCAGTTTTTTCTCTACCATGGGTGGTACCTGTGTGTCCTGCAGCAAAGGTAATGGGAGACAGACATTGGAGGCCTGAGGGTAAAGGTGGAGGCAAGAAAGGCACTGAGGACCTGAGTGTTTTCTATCTCTGTTAATAGGTTCCTCACCCTATTCACCAACAGCCCCCTGGGTCTTTTTAATGAAACTTTTCATGTTCCCCTTCGCTTCCAGAACTGTAGGCTAGTTTATTTTGCCCTGTTCACTGCTGGACTGAAGTAATTTTACCAAAAAAAACTCCAAAACAAGGTGTTTTTTTAGTGTCATAGTATGTTTTGACTTCAGAGTTAGAGAGGCTATAAGTATTTAAGGAAACGTATTTTGATTTGTTGGTTGCCACTATCACAGTATTTGAAAACAACTATAAACTTCAACTAAGAAGGTAATGAGATGGTAGCAACATTTGACTGAAATGCCAACAAATGCTGTGTAGTACAGAATTAAATCCTTCTAATCTAGAAATGGCTTAGTTCCACATTGGTCATGTCTCCAGACATCAGTTCCAAGAGGAAATGGGCACAAACTTGAATGTAAAAAACTGCATCTAAACCTGAGGAGGAACTTCTTCACTTTGAGGGTGGCAGAGCCCTGGCAGAGGCTGCCCAGAGAGGTGGTGGAGTCTCCTTCTCTGGAGACATTCAAACCCACCTGGACACGTTCCTGTGGGACCTGCTCTGGGTGGACCTGCTCTGGCAGGGGGTTGGACTGGGTGATCTCCAGAGGTCCCTTCCAACCCCATGTGATTGTGTGATCGATATGGGTATGTAATATTTAGAATACTTTGAATACATTTCTTGTAGAAATTCTGTTTCTTTCTTTCTGCAGAAATTAATTTCGGAACTTCAGAAATTGTTTTCTTCAAAAAATGAGACTTATGTGTTAAAATTATGGCCGCTGTTTGTCAAATTACTGGGAAAGGTAAGCAGAAAAGCAGTAAGTTTTACAGTCATGAATCTTCAGGGAAGGAATTTTTTAACAACATAAATACCTTAATTGGGAACTTCTTTATCCTCAGACCCTGCACCGTAGTGGCAGTTTTATCAACTCGTTGCTGCAACTGGAGGAACTGGGATTTCGTAGTGGCTCACCAGTGGTAAAGAAAATAGCCTTCATTGCATGGAAGAGTCTAATAGATAATTTTGCTCTAAATCCAGGTAGATTTAAAAAAGTTAACGTGAATTGTTTTGACTACTGTCACTTTACAGAAGTGGAAGAGACTAGTGTGTCTGATAGCAGGCAATACTATGGTACATACCATTGGATAGACATATAGTATATCTGTGGGATGTACCTGGTGTGTATATACATGAGTAAAACTCAACTTTTGTGGGTTTTCTGTTTTTTTTTTTTTTAAGGAAAAGTGACAGTTTGATCAATAGTTCTGTCTTTTTTTTTTTTTTCCTGCTAGGAGAAATTAATAGAATAAAATTAACAAACCTTTGTTTTATAATCCTTTAATTGATCCGAACAGCGATGAAGTAGAGAATAAAACATTCTGTTGCTCTTACTTTGGACTGTGGATTAATTGGAGAAAAGTAAAGCTTCAGGATTTTAGAGGTGTTTAAAAAGTTGCTTTAAAGGTATAACTGAGACCTGAGCAAGTCTTTTAAATGTAGCCTGTGTCAAGATACAGGGTTTTGGGTTTTTTTTAACTTTGATTGTGCTTCTCCTTAGTGTGAAGAGAAAAACTAAATGTGGACATTTCTTAGTTGAGCTGAATTTAACTTAAATTATCATTTTAATTTGTTTCCTATCTGGTCGTTTGTTCTGATCTTGATTTCCCATAAATTAATTAACGAAGAATCTGATTCTATCAGAAAACAAAGTCCCCGGCACAATCGGTGCTGGTTGTGCAGGTTGCAGTGGGGTGAGAGCAGTCTCTGTCAGTATTTCCTTAGGAATTTTCTTAGGAATTGCAGGTGGGCAGGTTCTGGTGCTGCTGAGCTGGCAAAAAGTTGTTTTTTTCTTTCAACACTTGCATAGGCTTGAGCAAACTTGTGTGCAGACACGCTGAGCTATTGCTGCTTCAGTGGGAAATGATGGTTTGTGGCCTCAGAATTTAAGGCTCTGTTTAAGATCATTTATTCTCTTGCAGTGATAATGCATATATATGTCAAGTGTTTGGTTTTTCTCTTACTGTGGCAGATAGGGCTCCCTAACCTAGTGAGCAAGAGGGAATTGCCTTCTGTTTGTGTTGATATTCAGTAGATTGCATTTCAGTCTCGGTATTGGAAAGAAATACTATTTCCAGGTTCATTCTAGACAACAATAAGAGCAGTAAAATAGGCTGAAAGGTTGGTGCATTTACTTTGTATTTTAGTTTTGCAAATTGTTAATTGAATTTTAAGCTAAAATGTATTAGGAAAAAACATAATGGTTTCAATTTTTTCCTTATTCTGTCGTTCTGTGATTTAATTATTTAATTGCCTTGATTAAAAATGAACTTTTCTTGGTCTTCAAGATATATTGTGCAGTGCTAAAAGGCTGAAGTTGCTAATGCAGCCACTGAGCTCCATCCATGTGAGAACAGAGGCTTTGGCACTGACAAAACTGGAGGTCTGGTGGTATTTGCTCATGAGGCTGGGCCCTCAGCTGCCTGCAAACTTTGAACAGGTAACTTGACCAAAAACTTAGTTTGTGTTGAGTGTGTGAAGCCAAGTCCCCCCTCTCTTACTGTAACTCATTCCCTACCTGCTTTGTCCTTCTCTGGCTTATTATTAAAATCAGACTCTTAACCAAGTGTTTCATTAATGTGTGCATTGTAACTGGAATGAACATAATGTTTCTACTGGGCTTGCAAATTTCATTTAATTAAATGTCAGGATAGGAGTAAAGGAAAAAAGCCAAACAATTACCCTTTTAGATATGGTGCAGTGGGGATCATTCTAACTTTTGTTAGATTTTTGTTCAATCTAGCCATCTCTAATTCGTGTATTGGTGTGCATGTTTTAAATAGCATCTTAAAAATACTGTTATTTTTAAAATGAAGTACTCATAAACTCTGAAGCTGAGTTTTATCAATCGAAATTGTTTCTGTGAAGAGCAATACGGTCTATGTGTGTGTATCTACAGTGATATTTGAAACTTGTAGTCCTTTGTGGCTTATGGTTTGTGTCTCAGACCTATTTTCCCCGTGGTTTGGTATCTCTGCAGGTTTGTGTACCATTAATCCAAAGTACTTTAAGTTTAGATTCTGCCACTCCATTGCAAGGAACTCCCTCACGGGCACCAGCCAACCAAAGCCTGGCCTTGGCAACCCCTACATCAAAATCAGGTACTGAACTCCAAGCTGTTCTATTTAACACGTTTATGCTTTTTCTTTTGCCTTATATTATTATTGAAAACCTTAATTTTTCTGCATGCTCATTGGAGAGCTCAGAGGTGGTGATTGACATCGGATAAAATTAGGCTGTTGTAGTCAGTATTTCAAGTTTACAAAATTGTTCTGGTCAAACTGTGGTGAGGACAGATTTTGGTGAATTGTGTTCTCTTTTGCAAGGGAGCATTGGTTGGAAACTTAGCACATATACAAATACATGAAAAACTGTTTATATATGCCATTCTCATTTCTGTAGCATTTTTAATTTCTGCCTGAGCAGTAACCCAGCAATTGCAATACATCAATAATTCTGATACTTTAGCTACCTGTGAAATCACACCTATTTGAGCTTAACATCTAAGAGCCAGCGATAAGGAATGGCTTCTTTTTCTCCTGTTTGTGGAAAACCCAGCACTCACAGCTTGAGTCATTCTAGACTGCTGTAATAGGAGCCTTGGGTACATTGTGGAGGTGTCCTAGATGTGTAGATCTTGTTTTGTCCCCTTTTTTTAAAAAAAAAAAAGTTCATTTTAGTTCTTTGAGATCATAACTGAGGTTTGCACGAGACTTGTGTTCAGTGTAAAAGTTTCTAATGCAAACTCTTTCACAGCAGTGGGTACTATATAGCTAGTGTATAGCCTACTGTGTAACTTGCTCTGTAACCACAGCCTCTGTGGAGGCTTCCTTTGCCAAAATAAAGTTTGAGGCTTGAGGCTGCAATCTTTGGAAGATATTTTTTCTTTCAAAACACGTGTTTTTGACTGTGATGTTGAACCCTGCTTAAAAGGAGTGTGTGCTAGATACCTGTCTGCCTGGTAGAGGTCCCTTTTAGCCAACTCTATGATTCATGCTTTTCATGTTGACTTTGGGATTTTGGTCTGTTGGCTCTTCCCTTTCACTTGGATGCAGGTGAAATATGAGACAACTTGTAATTTTTCTCCCCTGGCTCTAGGTCCTTACCCATTTGCAAATGCGGTCACGCCGAGGATGAACTTGGCTTCTAGTCCAGCAGGAATGGTGGTGATTCCCTCCATTCAGCTTTTGGGGATTGAAATGCTGCTTCACTTCTTGATGGGACCAGAAGTTGTAGATTTTGCTAAGCAAAACAAACTTGCACTTAGTTTAGGTATGTGAGTTATATTATTTTTTTAAGCACTTTCACGTAATTTGAGATTTACCAACGTTGTTGGATTTAAAGATGTCTATTAGCATGAAATGCTTTAAACATTTAAACCTGTTAGTTGATTATTTTTTTAAGGCTTATCTTACCAGTCGACTGCAAAATAACAGATTTACAGAGCATGTTTTTTTGTTCTCCTAGAGCCTCTTCAGTACCCACTGATCAGTAGTCCTTCTTTTTTTTGTAAGCATGCCAGCACGTTCATAAATGCCGTTCAGGACGGCTTTATTGCAATTGGAAAAGAAGTTCCAGGTAAGAATTTAGTGGTGAAATTTGATTTCTTTTCTGGAAAACAAAGTGGGGGAGGGATACCTAATAAAAAATAACCACTTTCTGTAATATTCCAGTGTTAGCATTAAATAGAACTACTCTGACTTGATTTGAAAGCTTATGTCAGTTTTGGCTTATGACAAAGTCTGTTGTTTTAACAGTTTGTATTTTAACTGCAATTTTGTTTAATGTTTTTATTGCAAACTGAATAAAAATGTTTTGATGTCTTGTAGATTGTATGCTGAATGTTATATGGAAGGACATAAATGGATATGTAAAAACTGCTATTGAGTCAGGTAAAAAACACTTTTTTTTAATTTATTTTGTCATTGCTGACTGGTTAGAGGTGGTTTTTTTTTTTTTTTAAGACTAGGCCTTAAGTGTTATTTGCTTCATTGCTGGTAAAACTTGGGTTTAGGCATCATTAATAGTTGTTTTTGAGGCAACGACTTATATTTTTTGTGATGCCTGCACCTGTGTGTGACAAATAAAAAGTCCTACTGATCTGATCCACTGAGGCTTATTGGGGAAGGCACAGAAGTTCTGAATGATGGTCAGAGTCACCGTTACTTTCTTCTGCTCTAACTGCGAATATTCTTTGTTCTAGGAAATAAGAAAGAAAAGCAAGGGTCAGAAATACTGACTATGTTGCTCCAGGCCTTAAAAAACACTGTTAGATCAAATTCTCTTCCTGTGCAGAAAATACTGGTAAGTTGGGCGGGTTTGTCTTGTTTTTTAAAACTGATTTCTTTTTGACAGTGTAGATTCTGATTGGTAGCAGGCTCTTGCATCTAACTTAACAGTTGCCTCTTTGTAAAGAGACAACTTCTTTCATGTAAACTAAGTTGTACAATTCTCATCAGATGGCAGAGTCTTGCTTAAGGGTTTCTTTCTTTAAATATTTTTCATATTTATCAGCAATATTCTCTTAATTGGGTAGATGGTTGTCCTACCAGAACCAAAAGTTACTTTTGTGGTGGATTTTTTTACTGAAGGGAAGCAATTGTTAAATTTTGCTTTTATTTTTGGTGTTATTTAAAATATTAGGACATCCAGGAAAAAAGTGTTTACGTATGTTTTCCTTTTTTCCCCTACTTAGTCTCTCATTGATATCACTGTTAAGGAACTGCCTTCAAAAGTATTGGGATCACCAGCTTATCAGGTTGCAGATATGGATCTTTTAAATGTAAGTGTGACTTGGTTCCAGAACTTTGTTTTTATGCTGAAATGTCGTAGGATGTCATATTTGCACAAATGTACAGAGGATTTCATAATTAGATCCAGACTTTTCAGGAAACTGTACTATTCTGTATTCCAGAGTGCAGACTTTGTTTCCAGCTCTCACTTCTGATGAGTACTTTAGCTAAAAAAGGGTATGCAGAAAGCACTGTACTAATGAAATAGGATTTCTCATGTTCAGGTCAGGACTAGGAATACAGGTTGCAGACTGAGTAGGAGTGTGCTAGCAGTTAGATTTATTAAAAGTTTAAAAGGTTTTTTAGGGACTTAAAATCGGGTGATGATCAGCTCTCCTCCTACATGCACCAGTAGATAGAGGGCAACTTGTTTATTTTGCACCAGTGGAGACAGAGCTTTCCATAGAAAGTAAGTGAAGATAGAGCTGTGAAAAAAGCTAAACTTTTATATTGTTAGCCAGGGAGTGCATGGAATTCATTTGGAGGCTTTTAAAAGCAGACAAATACTTGGGAGAGGAGACCTAAGTGAAATAGAGTAAGCAAATGCTTCAGCTCAAGTGAGTCGTATAAAACTGCGTGTACCAGAGCTGGCTTAAGAGCTCAGCTCTCAAAATTCTTCCCAGCCTTTTTTCCCTTCTGATTGTGTTATTTACATTTGGAGGCCTTTTCTGACTTAAGTACAAGAATCAAAACTTTTTGAAGGTGGTTGAAGCTGTAATTGGTAGGTATTAAATGCGTTTTGTTAAATACTTTAATGCTAGCAAACCTGAAATGCTCGTGATAGATTTTTAACAGAGATTATCCAAAAGAGGTCTTGTTGAAACCTTGAAAGAAGTAAATGTTGGGTTGCCCCATTTGGTTCCAGGTCTCACACCGTGCACTGGTTGTGTTACCTGCACCTACCTTATTGTGCTGCATGGAATTGAAGGCAGTAATGACTAAATACAGTAAAACTCACAGCCTTTTAAATAGAGAAGTTTTTTAGCTTCAACTAGAGTGTAATTGGTATTCTGCTGAAGTGCCAGCATCCAGCAGAAGCTTAGTTTTCCCTCTCATTTTTATTTTCACTAGAGTGTAATTGGTATTCTGCTGAAGTGTCAGGATCCAGCAGAAGCTTAGTTTTCCAGCTTTCCCTCTCATTTTTATTTTTAAGTGTTAGAATTGACAGTCTTTAACAACTTTTAATAGTTGGGAAATTCTGGCTTAGAGTTAAATATAGTATATAGATAAATACACATGTAGGTGAGGCAGCTGTTTCGTTTGGTCAGTGTACATGTTGTTCTGACCTCTGAAATTTCTCTTACAAGGGAACACCAGCGCTGTTCTTAATCCAGCTGCCTTTCCATAATAACCTCTTGGAATCCTGTGTAACAGAGGAGAGGTACGTGCTGGTGGTTGTTTACAATGAGCTTTTCATAGAAGACTTTTGAGAGGAGAGGTACGTGCTGGTGGTTGTTTACGATGAGCTTCCTGTAGAAGACTTCATGGAAGTTTTTCCTGACTTCAGCTGGAAAAAGTATCTTACCTATTTCCCTTTCTTCCCTAGATTCTTTGTAATCCTAACAACGCTGGTGGGTTTTGTTTTGTCTGGGCCTACATCTCCACTGGCTTTCAGTGAATCTGTGGTTGGAATTCTTAATCAGAGCGCAAAGCAAGTGGAAAACAAGGAGCATCTTTGGAGGATGTGGAGTATTGTTGTTAATCCACTGACCGAATGGATTAATCGGGTAGAGTGGCTTTTTGTTCTCTTTCCCTGTGAAAAAAACACAGGAAAACTTTGTGCTGATCTTTTATCTTAATGTATCTTTAAAAATTACATGTCTTGAATTGGTAGTGCACTGACCGAATGGATTAATCGGGTAGAGTGGCTTTTTGTTCTCCTTCCCCTGCAAAAAAAAACGATTAATCGGGTAGAGTGGCTTTTTGTTCTCTTTCCCTGTGAAAAAAACACAGGAAAACTTTGTGCTGATCTTTTATCTTAATGTATCTTTAAAAATTACATGTCTTGAATTGGTAGTGAAATTAAAAAAGCTTGGTCCTATTCATGAAACTGGAACGTGTGCAGCATTTTGTTAAAAAGTCCCTAAGTTGAGGATGAACATCTGCAGTGAGGTGGGATGAAGGGCAGTAGTGGAGGAGTGATCCAGAGTGTGGTTTGAAGTGATTTCAGTCAGTAAAGAGTGATTGCTCTTAAATACAGTGTCAGGAATGCTTTTCTCCTTTTATTTAAGATTATAGTTAAGTTTCTAGATGTGCTTCAAGCCCTTGATCCTTGGCATAGTCTTACTGCTACAGAGGATGGAAACCTGCCCTCCAGGACCTCTTAACTTTTAAATACCAAGAGACTTGTTTGCTTTGTTTGATAATGTAATAAATACCGAGTTGTGATGTTTAGAATGTAATTAGAACAGTATTTTTCACTAATGAAGTACATTGAATCTAACGTCTAATTCTCATGTAGCCTTAGCCCTAAAAATCCTAAAATTTATAAAGAAAGTTGTAGGTGCTTTAAGTAGGTTGCTCTCATGGCTTATTGCAGCTGAAATAAGTAAGAAATGTGTGACATTTGTTAACAGATTGTTTTTATTTGTGGAATTAAGCTATTTTGGAATTTAGAAACAGTGCCTTTTATCTCTTTAAATAGTAGGGTCAGCTCAAACTCTTGAAAGAATTGAGAATAACTAAATTATGAAACTGGAACGTGTGCAGCATTTTGCTAAAAAGTCCCTAAGTTGAGGATGAACATCTGCAGTGAGGTGGGATGAAGGGCAGTAGTGGAGGAGTGATCCAGAGTGTGGTTTGAAGTGATTTCAGTCAGTAAAGAGTGATTGCTCTTAAATACAGTGTCAGGAATGCTTTTCTCCTTTTATTTAAGATTATAGTTAAGTTTCTAGATGTGCTTCAAGCCCTTGATCCTTGGCATAGTCTTACTGCTACAGAGGATGGAAACCTGCCCTCCAGGACCTCTTAACTTTTAAATACCAAGAGACTTGTTTGCTTTGTTTGATAATGTAATAAATACCGAGTTGTGATGTTTAGAATGTAATTAGAACAGTATTTTTCACTAATGAAGTACATTGAATCTAACGTCTAATTCTCATGTAGCCTTAGCCCTAAAAATCCTAAAATTTATAAAGAAAGTTGTAGGTGCTTTAAGTAGGTTGCTCTCATGGCTTATTGCAGCTGAAATAAGTAAGAAATGTGTGACATTTGTTAACAGATTGTTTTTATTTGTGGAATTAAGCTATTTTGGAATTTAGAAACAGTGCCTTTTATCTCTTTAAATAGTAGGGTCAGCTCAAACTCTTGAAAGAATTGAGAATAGCTAATTTCAAAATACCACTGGCAATACGTATTTAGAAAATTTTACTTGTCATCTAAATTCTGTAGCTTCGTTACTCAGAAAATCGTTTTCTCGTTGCAGACTAACGAAGTAAATCAGGGTGATGCCCTGGAACACAACTTCAATGCTGTTTACAGCGCATTGCTGCTACCAGTATCACATATCTTCCCCGTTCAGGAATTCCCCCAGGTAACAGTGAATGCATAATGTTCATTAGAAACAATGTGGGGTTTATTAAAAAAAAACAAACTATGAAGTGCTCTCTGATATCTCAGAGCAGAGTTTATTATCGATATGTTTATACGTTGACCCACTGCTCCAGGGTTGGAATTCTTGAGTTACGTAGGTTTTGACAGAAGAAGAAAACTTAAAGCAAGTTTTTATCCTTTGTGCACAGACATTGATATTTATAAACTTTTTCTTTCTGTTGTTAAAGCCAACTATGAAATCCTTGTTGCGCACTTGGTCAGAGCTGTATAGAGCATTTGCTCGCTGTGCTGCTTTAGTTGCAACAGCAGAAGAAAACCTATGCTGTGAAGAACTTTGTGCCAAAATAATATCTGGGCTAGAAGGTGAAACTCCAGTAGTGAGTATAAACCAGTGATATTGAACTATATAAGTACTTTAGAAGATATATTTTAAAATTAGATATAAGAATCTATTGTAAAGTCTAATGTAGTGCTTCCTATAACTTAAAGTGTTTTGGGTGAGACTTAGATTAAAGCTATAACAAAGTTCTTTTTATTAACAGGAGTTGGAGTTGATCTAGAAATGGATTGGGAGTAAAAAGAATTATAAAGCTTAAATATTAAAATAGTAGTTAAGCAATCTTTGGATTTGTCTTTGAACTATTTAAGTAATAATTTAGTGAATGTCATCATCATGATAAATATGATCTGTCTGGTTGAAATGTGTGTGTATATATAAAATTACTTCAGGTTGAATTAACAAATAATGCAAAACCAGGCATTTTGGTTAGGAAAGAGGAGAGGGTAGCATTGTAGCAGTCAGAGGGTGTAACTTGCTACATTCCTGTTACTGTCAAACCTGTACACTACAATTTAAAGACTTCTCTGTTTAATAAAGCTTTAGAAATAAGCTTTTGAAAGAGGAAGCCTTTACATTATCTGTCTGGCCTCTTTGCAAGCCCACATCATATAGGCAGATGGAGTTTCTGTACGTGTTGGTGAACATCAGTTTTGGAATATAAAATCCTTTGTTGACTGTCTTTTGAAAAAAAAACCAAACAAACAGCAGATGTAAAATCCTTTGTTGACTGTCTTTTGAAAAACAAACAAACAAACAGACCAAAACTGTGAAAGGAACAAATAAGAAACAGATGAGAAAGAAACGTAGAGTCTGGAGGACTACATCATTATAACTTAATTTGGATGCAGCTGTATCCTGATAATAAACTTAAATTTTCAAAAATTAATAATAGTTAAGCAAGCAAAACTTAAACAATTTAGAGCTTCAGCATGTAAGTTATATTGAAACTAAACTTTTATTGACCGTGATATCAATGTTCCATATAAAAGCAAGTTTTTGTTTTATTTAGAAGAATTTGTGATGGATTTGGTGGGCAGGAAGTGTGAAAACCCGTGACCCATCTTTTTCTGTGTCCTAGAAATGGCTGGGGCTTCCTGACTGTTAATGACAACCTTACTGTTATGCCCACAGTGACTTTTCTGTAAAATCAGGCTTTGTGCAGTAACTGAACTTAGGCACACACTGACATTCGGTAACACGTTTTGCTAGACAGGTAGTGCCTCAAACTGTAATACTTTTGGTGAATCTTCTTAAACCTAACACCTTCTTACAGCTGCCTGTTACTGTTTGGTTTCTTTAGATAACGTAGATGCTTATGTCTTATTTGTACAGAATGGAAGACTCAATCTTAAGCTTCTGTAAATGTGTGTATTTTAAAATATAAACCTTTCTGAATCTTACCTGATAACGTAGACAAATTTCATCCACTCTTAAATTTAAAAGCTGTTCTGTATGTTCTTGTCCTGAATGGCCAATGTGTTTGTTTTTTTTTTCTGTCACTGTTGCTCTTTTGGGTTTTGCTGATGACTTGTGTTTCCTCCTCAGATGTTTGCAATGATGGATGGTCTCACCCATATTATATCAGTTATGGTTGACTGCCTCAACTTTGCACCATATGGTACTAAATATCAGCCCAAAAACCGATGTAAGAAAATATTGAATATTGGCGGTTTCTGTCTCTTTCTCCCAGAGCTGGTTGAAAATTAGAGTTTTTGTAGATGCAGAAGTGATGACCTTAGGATGTCAGTGGGCTCTATAGGCAACACATACCATCTAGGTAATGAAGGGGTTGACAAAATAGTCATCAAAAGGAACTGAAAATATCATCCAGTACACATATTTGAGTGTTGGATCTTTTCTACTCGTTGAGCAGCTACTGCACAGCCTGACAAAAGGCATCTGAAATCGATGTAAACCTTGAGGCTGCTTTACTGTTCAGTTGACTGTAAAACACGGCTGGTTTCTGAAGTTGTATATGATATTTTTGCAATGATTTAAACTCTGCATGTGAAATCTGCTTTTGCTTTGTGCAGACGTAATCTGAAGGAGTAAAGATTGATCATAATCCACAGTCTAATGATAAAATACCTGCCTAAAACCGATGGTAAACTATGCACATAATCTTAGAAAGGCTACTGCTTCTGAAGCTACTTTTGCATAAAATAGTTGAGAATAGGTTTAACAGAAGACCAAAGGTCATTGTATGTAAAATGATCTTTGTTTTGTTTCCTCCGCCCACTTATAACTACTAAAGCTGAAGAAATAATTTACAAAATAATGTAATTCAGTATAAAACTTGAACTATTTCTCTGCCCCATGTGAGGCTACTGCTTCTGAAGCTACTTTTGCATAAAATAGTTGAGAATAGGTTTAACAGAAGACCAAAGGTCATTGTATGTAAAATGATCTTTGTTTTGTTTCCTCCGCCCACTTATAACTACTAAAGCTGAAGAAATAATTTACAAAATAATGTAATTCAGTATAAAACTTGAACTATTTCTCTGCCCCGTGTGAATTTGTTCAAGTATAAGACACTTAGTTTTGAAACTACTTGTGTGTAGGTATAGTGTGGGAATCGAAGTTCTGTTTCTGGTGTAGACAAAAAGTTCATAGGTCTTTTGTTGTAACGTGTGTTGGTTAGATAGGAAGAAAACTTACTTTTTTTTTAATGTTAGCTCCACAGACACCTACAGATTGGTCTAAGAGGAAGAAGGAACCCCTTGGAAAGCTTTCCTCTCTATTTAAACTCCTGGTGATGTTACTAAACTCTTTCCATGTGTTCAGTTCCAAAGAAGCCTGTTCAGAAACGTTGCTCTCTGTTGGTCCTTCAATTATTGCTGTTCTCGACAAAAAGTTCATAGGTCTTTTGTTGTAACGTGTGTTGGTTAGATAGGAAGAAAACTTACTTTTTTTTAATGTTAGCTCCACAGACACCTACAGATTGGTCTAAGAGGAAGAAGGAACCCCTTGGAAAGCTTTCCTCTCTATTTAAACTCCTGGTGATGTTACTAAACTCTTTCCATGTGTTCAGTTCCAAAGAAGCCTGTTCAGAAACGTTGCTCTCTGTTGGTCCTTCAATTATTGCTGTTCTCCACAACATCATCAGCCGCGTTTCGTTGCCTTCCGTTATCGGGACCATGTTTGCAATCTTCTCAAAACCCCTGGCAGTGTTTTATGAAAAAACAAAGTGAGTATTTGAAGAATGGTTGGAAAACTGGATTCATTGTATTTGCTGTGTATTGGTGAAATTCTGTAACAAGTGGTGTATTTGAATACAGCTCAGGGGTTTTCAGGGCTTTGGCACTAGTATGCTAAGAACTTTCAGCTCTTTCCAAGCTTCTTGCTTCTTCTTGCTTCAAGCTTCTAGAACTTTCAGCTCTTTCCAAGCTTCTTGCTGCTTCTTGCTTCAAGCTTCTTGTCCTTGTGGCCAAGAAGGCCAATGGCCTCCTGGGGGGCATCAGGAAGAGTGGGACCAGCAGGTGGAGGGAGGTCATCCTGCCCCTCTGCTCTGCCCTGGGGAGGCCCCAGCTGGAGCACTGGGTCCAGTTCTGGGCTCCCCAGTTCCAGAAGGACAGGGAACTGCTGGAGAGGGTCCAGCAGAGGGCTACAAAGATGAGGGGATTAGAACATCTCTCTGATGAGGAAAGGCTGAGAGATTTGGGTCTTTGTAGTCTGGAGAAGAGAAGGCTGAGGGGGGATCTGATCAACACCTATAAATACTTCAAGGGTGGGTGTCAGGAGGATGGGGCCAGTCTTTTTTCAGTGGGGCCCAGGGACAGGACAAGAGGCAATGGGCACAAACTTGACCATAAGAAGTTCCACCTAAACGTGAGGAGGACCTTCTTTGCTGTGAGGGTGGCAGAGCCCTGGAAGAGGCTGCCCAGGGAGGTGGTGAAGTCTCCTCTGGAGACATTCAAACCCACCTGGAGACGTTCCTGTGGGACCTGCTCTGGGGTGACCTGCTCTGGCAGGGGGTTGGACTGGATGATCTCCAGAGGTCCCTTCCCACCCCGTGTTATTCTGTGATTCTTGCTTTAAGAACAGCTTGTATTTTACTAGACTCAGCCTAGTCAGCAGGTACTGGTTTTGTAGCGTGCCCCAACACTGCAGAAGGAATGGCTCTGTAAAGCATTGCTGAGAACTTGCTGTTTTCTACAATTCCTGCATAAATAACCGGGGGGGGGTGGTGGAATAAACCCAAACTGACCTAGTTGTACAGGAAGGGAAACCTGGAGGGCTTCTGAAAGCTTGGTATTTAAATTTGGTGTCTCTTTGGAGTGAATGTATTGCCATCTCCAAAAGACTGAAGTGTTGTGCTGTTTGTTTTCGCTGCAGTGAATTTATTAACAATAATTTGTTTTCTTGTGGGTGGGAACTGTGTAAAATTTTTGTAGGAAAAAGAGAAATCATAATTACTTAAAGTACACTAAAACCCTGTAAGATTTTAAGCAGAGGGAAGTACTGAGAAATATTTGTTTGTTGCTATGCATTGCTTTTATATGGCTTTGCTTTTTTATTTTTAAATTGTTGTAGCCTTCTCCTTCCAGGACATAATGGAATAAGCAGGGGCTTGGTGGGAGGAGGCCAGCAGAGGCTTGTCTCTGGTTTGTTGGTGGGTGCAGGACATTTACCTTGGGCTCAGGAAAAGGAAAAGAAATTGAGTATGGCTTTGGGAGGAGAGGATGGGATGGGATGGGAAGCTGCCAGTCAGCCTTGAAGCTTTTCCTGAAACTACCTGAAGCTACCATTAATGTAAAATTCATCAGGATTCCCCATCTCAAAGGCAAAAATCCCCTTGTTCCTGTGTAAGGTTGAGTTGAAGCCCCCTCTCTCCATCTCCCATCTCACCTGCCTTTGAGCTTTGTCTTTCTTAGAATTACTCATTAAAAGGGAGAAGTGAGCGTTGGATGTATATCTTTAAAGGAAGGTATATGCAAGCAAATACAAGTTTGGGAACCTCTTCGGGTTGGAGGTCACAGGCTTATAAAATAAATGACTAAATGCAGTTTTCCCACATTTTGGAGGACGGTGTGTGTACCCAGGGATTTGTAGACATGAAATTACTTAGTTTAGGTGATACTTCAGCTTTTTAATGCAGATATTTATGGGACTGGGGAAATATGTTTGAGGAAAGATTTAAGAGCAAGACAAAGAAGGCAGTTAGGAGCTACTTCCTAAGAAAACCTTTAAGTTTGTACTAATTGGTAATGATCTTTCCATTAGCTTATCTTAAAATTAGCATATAAGTATCAGTGGGGGTTAAAGGATAGACTGACTTGAAAGTATTCACATCAGGAAATTTGTTGATCGCCCCATGGGAGGTTGGTGTCAACATTATTTCCTCGAGTTGCACACTAAAAACAGTGTGCAGTGCTTGAGTGCATTACATATTTAATTCTCACACTTGAGATAAATGAGACAGCAAAGCATAACTTTTTGTTTGTTTCTTTTGGCAGGCTTGCTGATGTGCCCAAAGTGTACAGTGAGCTCAACAACAAGGTAAATTTACTGGCGTTGGGGAAAATGTGTGACAAGAGTTTTGCTGTTCATCCTGTATTATAAAAAAAATAAATTAAAAAAGGTATTGAAGGTAGAGATTTATTTTTAAATGATTGATTTTTTACTAAAAAGATAGTTGAGGTTAGCTGTTAGACTTTCTGTGTGGTGTTTAAACTTGTTTATTCAGGCCATGCTACGCAATGGGGTAATAATGTTTTAAGTGATGTTTTAAACTTCTGAATAGTGAATACGTGCAATATTTGAATTAAACAAAAAAAAACCGTAGTGTTTCTTCTCTCCCTCAGCTTGAAAAGCTCCTGGCTGAGATCATCCAGTGTGTGCAGTCTCACTGCACGGGCTCTTACGACAGCGATTTGCTGGCGCAGCTTTCTCCCTTGCTCTGCGTGATATTCCAGCACAAGAACAAACAGATCCGCCACCAGTGTGCCCACTTCTGGAACACAACGTTTGCCAAGGCCGCGTCGTTAACATACCCTGAAGAGTTAAAGTAAGATACACTTTTATTTTTCATATTTCTGTATTTTTAAAGGAAGAGATCGCGGGTTACGTGCAAATGAATTGGTGGTGTTCTGCTCACCGTTTATATTCTGCTTTTTGTGCAAGCTTGGGTATCTGCTGGTCTTTTTGTGTACCTCTCCACCCTCCTCCATAAATTTAAATTTCTTTTTTTTTTTTGTTGAGCAGGTCTGTGTTAAGCCAAGCCAAAAAGAATATTCCACTCTTGCTGCCTGCTTTTGAAAGCGTGGAGATGGCCGAAGAGTACAGCGGCCCCTTCTCTGACGCGGTAAGGATTTTATTGACCCTCAACGGGTGCTTCGTTGGGTAGAACTTCATGGGAATTGTTCAGCAGGGAGTGGCAAGGTCAATTTTGATTTTTGCTGTGATTGGCCTCCGCCTGCTTTATGTTTGGAATATAAATTGTGCTGGGAAAGTACCATCAAAAGACTGAGCTGGTTCTTAAACGTTATGGGCGTTTTAAATTGGTGGGTTCTACTTGCTTGGTTGAAATAATGAATGTATTAAGTTGTCCTCTATGTATTTTAGAGGAAAACAGGAGTGGGGACAGTTCAGTTGTAGGAATTAATGTATCTCAGGATGAGTTTGTGAGCTTGGAGTTTCTTCATACAGTGCGTTCAGCGTGTTTTTATTTGACTAGATGGAAAATTCACAGCTGGATGCAAAAATAAGTGGAATGGAGGTAAAGCTGGGTCAAAAACGAGACTCTATATTGGCACAAACGAGTGAACTGAAAAACGAAGGAAAAGACAAGCCCAGTAACGTGCAAGTAACATCTGCCAAGGTAAGATTACAGATAGGTGTGATGAAATCAAATCCCTTTTGTCCTGCAGAACATCTAGAATGCTCTGTAAATTCTCAGTTAAAAAATAACACGCTTTGTGACAGTGGAATATTTTTCTGTCCAACATAGGCTGTATAATAGCACACACTAATTCCCCTGCTAAATTTACAGGTTGAGCTTTAAGGAGGGGTGATGGAGGGCAGGGAGTGGGGGTTGCAGAATCTTCTAGGAGATTTATGGGGGGGAAAAAATCGCTCACAAAGAAAATCAACACCTACTGAGAGTTTTGTGCTGATTAATATGTTAAGAAAGCTGGTTGGTTGGGAACTGTTCCACTTAGGATGGCTGTATTGAACTATGAAGACACTTCCAATTCCTCTGTCTCGTTTGTAATCCAGTGGGGTTTTCTTTTTCCTTTCTGTAGTTGAAACTAGAATTTTCATCTTCGAAGACTAAGAGTGAGATACTCTTGGAAGAGGAGAAATCAGTTGATTTTGTGTTTATTCCTCCAGAAACGAAAGAGAGAATATTGACAGAGCATCAAAAAGAAGTGCTTAGGTCCAAGAGGTCTGTAATTTATTGTGTTCAGCTTAACACGAAGCGTCATCACATTGAGTATGTCAGATTGACATCACTTCAGTTCCTGTGTCTCACACTACTTTTTAAAAAGTCTGCCTTGCTGTTTCTGGCTTTGTTTCAGAGCTGATATTCCTGCAATGTACAACAATTTGGATGCATCACAAGATACTACCTTGTTTTCTCAGTACACACAAAGCCAGGAAGATTCTTTGTAAGTAAAGGCTGCCACTGTTGCCAGGAAAGGTCTTCCCCTTTTCTGCTACGCTTCTAATCTAAGTAACTTCTGTTTCAGGGGAAAACCATCTTTAATAGAAAATGCAAAAGAAGATACTAAAGCCAAGCCTCAGGTAATTTCTCCTTGTCTAATGGTAATTAAGATATCAGAATTATTTTCTTCATATTAGGAGCTCTGGTAATTAACAGCAAAACTCTCTGTGATTACTGTGTATGATGTTGTTTTAAACCTGATTTGGAAACTCTTCAAGCAAAAAAAAGTACCTCAAATGTAACAGCTCACAGGAATAATTTCTTTTCCCTGTACTGCTTAAGCTGTAAGACTCTTAATAATATCTTTGTTCAGAAGCTTAGAAGTTTCCACATTCTGAACTGCTTCTGGATGAAGCTGTAATGGGTTGAGGGGTATTAAGTAGTAGATTTTTTTTTTGGGAGGGGTGTGTGGAAATTTCAAAGTCCTAAACATAGATCTGTTCAGTTTTGGAGAGGAGTTGTCTGCACAGCTTGTTTGACCAGCTGCAGTGCTGAACAGGCAGGAGGGAAAATACAGCAGATTCTTCATAAAAACTGCTTCAGTAGCAGATTTGTTAATATGCTGTAAAACGTTTTTGCAGTTCTTCATGTTTTGAGGTTAAATGGCTTTTAAAAAAATTAATAATTAAATCTTTGCCTTTTATAACTAGGGAGGGGCAGATAATAAAATAATTTGAAGGAAGAGTGGTTTGAAAAATGGTGTGGGGTGCGGTGTTTTCTATTCAACCAGAGCTGGTTTTTTATGTTCTGTTGATATCAAAACTCCAGTCCTTTGATATTTTTGGGACAGGAAGAAAATGCAAAGAGCGAAGGACGCCAAGGGGAGTCGGATGAGATGGTGGGGGGCTGCAAACCAGCCCATCCTCCGGAGAACGCCGCCTGCGGGGAGGAACCACCCGTGACTCAGATGGAGGAGAGCTCCACCTCCAGCAGCAGGAGGGGGACACAGAGGGACGCGGCCGACGCCGTCCCGGGGGAGCTGTCTGTTGGAGAGGGGTTAGAAACCAGTGCTGTGGACACGGCTTCGAAGGAGCCCTCCGTAGGCAACGAAACCACTTCCAACCTCAGCAGCAGTTCTTCCAGTGACGTCATTTCGGGGACGCCGCAGCCTGCCAGCCGCCGGCAGTCGTTTATCACTCTGGAGAAATTTGGGAGTTCAGTGAACAGACCCTTCGGCCTCTCGGTGTTAAATAGTATCGCCGAGACGCCGGGGAGCACTTCTGTGGCAGGGAAACAGGAAAATACAAGCGTGTGCAAGACTGGTGCTAAACCCGAAAAATCTGGTGAAGAAAATACAAAACCTTCAAAATCGGAGCCCGAGCAAGGAGTCACCGCCGCGCGAAGGCTGACGCGTAGGCAGAGCAAGTTGGAGCACCAAGAAAACAAGCAGTCCAAGGTGTCCCTTGGGTCAGAACAAGAGTCTCCTGCCTCCAGCAGTACGGAAAACAGTCCCGAACTGTCTTCTGCAGTAGAGAACATAGAAGAAGTTCTCCTTAATCAGTCCCGAGCTCTCCATTCTGCAGAAGAAGACATTGTGAAAGTTGAAGGTGTAATAGCAGAGATAGAAAAGGTCCGGAAGCTGGATATGGATTCTAAAGAAAATACACCCCCAGAGGCCACCGTATCACCTGAGCAGGTAACGGGGGACAACAGTCAGGTTCCACAGGTGTCCCCCACTCAGAAGATACCAAGACGTTCTTTGAGACGACGGTCAGAAGCTGTAGAAAGCGCAGCGGGTAGTCAGGATAAGGAAGATGGCCACCAAAAGAGACGTAAAGAAGATGAAAAATCTGGGCCAAAGAAGGTGCCACAGACTAGAGATGACGCGTCCCAAAAGCAGAAAGCGGTTTCTGGGAAAACTACAGAAAATACAAATAAAGAAAGCAACCTGGTGGAGAGAACTGCTGTGGAGGAGGAGGAGGTGAGTGCAAAGGAGTCTCCTGCTTCAAGGGGCCTCGATGAGGAAGCAAACAAAAGTGGGAGGAGGCCAGAAGATACCATGAAGAGTGACGCAGAGGGTCAAGACGGTAGCTCCGGTGTGGTAGGTCAGAAGAAGGTGGAACGCCCGCGGTACCACACAAGAAGGGCCTCACAGGGATTGCTTTCCAGCATAGAAAACTCGGAGGCTGATGGCTACGAGCCCAAGGAAGAAAGCACCAGGAAGAAAAGATCAGCCAAACTCAAGAACAGAAGTGATTCCCTGGAAAGTAAATCGAAAGATCTACAGCCGGGAAGCCAGAGCCATGAGGTGTCTTCCCAAGGAAACGACATGAAGAATCTCTTGGAAGCAAGTCAAGGTGAACTGAGCCCTGAAGTGGGCACGGACGCTGCGGTGACATCTGAAGTGTGTGACCCAAAGCATCAAGAAGTGCCTGCAGGTGTTGGCAAAGCAGAGGCATCTGCTGGCTCCAAAGATTTGCCTGATGCACAGAATGTCAATGTGGACCAAAAGAGCAGTATGTCAGTGGAATCATTCTCCAACTCCTGTGTGTCTGATCAGGATTTGAAAGCACCAGAGGACGATAAACATGTTGAGAAGCAAGCAACTGAGGAAGAGTGTTGTCCAACTATTCTGCCTGAACCCGTACCGGGAGGAAATGCTTCAGGTGATGACCTCTCCTCTTCGCCAGCACCCGAGGGGCAGAACAAGAGAAGCAGAAGGGTGAAAAGAGGGAGGAGCTGTGATTGCTGTGGCACAAAGCCAAAGCAGCAGATACTGTCAGTCACTGGATCAAAAACTGAGAGCGCTCCTGAGCTGAACGAGTCCCAGCCCAGCCCAGTTCAGACGCCCCTAAATCCATCAGAGGTGTCCGGTAATTCCAGTTTGGACGAGAGCTTGTCCCTGGCACCTTGTGCCATGAGCACTCCAGTGCACCCCCCGAAGGAGCCCACTGCCTTTGACTTGGGAGGAGAGGGAAGGTCTGAAGATGATCTACAAGGAAGCGTTGTAGAAGAGGAGGGTCTGGAGGATGCAGAGGGTAGAGCAGGAGAAACGACCGACGCGGTGGTGGACGTGGAAGAACCTGCTGATCAGAGCGATGGAACTGGGCAGTGTCTGTCTGAGGGTGGAGCAGAAGAGCCTGGTGACAGCTCCGTGGTGGCAGGGAATGACAGTGAAGAACCAGTGGCTACGGAAAAGGAAGAAATGAGTCAGAATGGACAACCAGAGGAGATACCCGAGGCGCCCATTGACGTTAGCGAAACTGAGAAAAACCAGCTGGATGAGCCAGAAAGCAACTGGGGCAACGAAGAAGCAGCTGAGAACAGCGTAGGAGAAATTTGCACTATTCCAAATGAAGAGGTGAAGGAGGAGTTAGTGGAGACTGAAATCACGGTGCCTGAAAACGCGGCCTTGGAGACAGAAGGTGCCGTAGAAGGTAACGGCGTGGGTTCCCCTCAAAAGCTGGAAGATGACCATTCGTTTGCGTTGGCGAACGAGAGCCCCAACGGGATGCAGGCACGCTGCACGTGGTCTCCTTCCGCCTCGCCCTCCACCAGCATTTTAAAGAGAGGTGTTAAAAGAAGTCAAGATGATGATTCCCTGTCACCTGCCAATAAGGTATTGCGATGTGATTGTATGATACAGTTTATATTATATTTATATTTCTATTATATGATTATATTTATATTATATTTATATATATTTATATATATATTTATATTATATGATTACAGATTATATGATACGGGGTGTTTAATGGGGTCTGTAGAGTAATCACCTGCCAATAAGGTATTGCGATGTGATTGTATGATACAGTTTATATTATATTTAGATGATTCCCTGTCACCTGCCAATAAGGTATCACGATGTGATTATATGATACAGTTTATATTATATTTGTATTTCTATTATATGATTATATTTATATTATATTTATATATATTTATATATATATTTATATTATATGATTACAGATTATATGATACGGGGTGTTTAATGGGGTCTGTAGAGTAATGAATCATAGAATCATAGAATTATTGAGGTTGGAAGAGACCCTTGGGATCATCGAGTCCAACCATCTCCCCTACTCTACAAAGTCCTCCCCTACACCATGTCCCTCAGCACTGCATCTAAACGGCCCTTAAACACAGCCAGGGATGGTGACTCCACCCCCTCCCTGGGCAGCCTGTTCCAATGCCCGACCACTCTTTCTGTGAAAAATTCCTTCCTAATGTTCAATCTAAACCTCCCCTGTTGGAGCTTGAAGCCGTTCCCTCTCGTTCTGTCACTAATTACCTGTGAGAAGAGACCAGCACCAACCTCTCTACAGTGTCCTTTCAAGTAGTTCAGCCTCCTCTTCCTCATACTGAACAGCCCCAGCTCCTTCAGCCGCTCTTCATATGATTTGTCTTCTAGGCTCTGTTGAATTACTGTATTTTTCACTCCCTGGTGGTTTGAGCTCATACTGTAAAAAACTATTTCTCTCCAAACCCAGATTCGCCGAGTCTCTTTCGCGGACCCCATCTACCAAGAGGGACTGGCCGACGACATCGACAGGAGAAGCCCTGTCGTGAGATCCCATTCTTCTTCCCCCTCTTCCCGGAGCCTTAAAATTTTATCCAATATCCAGGCTAAGGTGGGTTCTGTCTTCTGTGTGTCCCACGCACTCGTGGTCCTCGGTAACCGAGACCCCCTCGGTGTGTGAGGGGGTCGTGGTGGGTTGAGCCTGGATCATTCTGTTACTCTCAGAGAGGAGTAGGGAGCGAGAATCTGCCGATTTACCAAATTCCTATCATCCTGAGAGACCTATATTTTTTTTCTTCCCTCTTTTTTTTTTTTCTATCCAGCTTATTACCACTCCAACCAAAGGATTTCTGTCCCCAGGATCTCGTAACCCTAAATTTAAGAGCTCAAAGAAGTGTTTAGTAAGAAGCGCTTTGGTTCATCTATCTCTTCTATATTTTTTTCCCCTGTATTCAGTTGCGTGATGGTTAATTTAATAATTATTCTGTGTCCTTCAAGATCACGGAAATGGCCAAGGAATCTCTGCTCTGCCCCACGGAGTGTGTGTATCCTGCCCTGGCTGGCTGCAAAGTGCCCGTGGACGTGATTTTACCTCAGATCACATCAAACATCTGGTGAGTGGGGGTTGTTGCTCTTGAAAACAAGGTTTTAATAGAAACTGAGCCTGCGGAACCAAAATCTCATGCAAAATACCATGATTCAGTCTGGGGAAGAGGAGACTGAGGGGAGACCTTATTGCTCTGTACAAGTACCTGAAAGGAGGCTGTAGAGAGACGGGGGTCGGTCTCTTCTTCCAAGTTACAGATGATAGGACAAGGGGTAATGGCTTCAAGTTGTGCCAGGGGAAGTTCAGGTTGGATATTAGGAAACATTTCTTTACTGAAAGGATTATCCGGCATTGGAATGGGCTGCCCAGGGAGGCGGAGGTATTTAAGAAACGTGTAGACATGGTTCTTCAGGGCATGCTCTAGTGCCTAAGATTACTGGTTTGTGGTGGGGGGCTGTGTGGGTGGGTGATGGGTTTTGGTTTGGTGGTTGTTGTTGTGTGTTTAGGGGGGGGGTGGTGGTTTGTGTTTTTTGTGTGGGTTTTTTTTTTGGTTTTTTTTTGTGTTGGTTGGACTCGATGATCTCTGAGGTCCCTTCCAACCACTACGATTCTGTGATTCTGTGATTTAGAGACGCTTTTATGCTGGAAAAGGAGGGAAAGTGGTTTGGGTTTGAAAATAATCGACATTCCAGATGTCCAAAGGCCGGGTGCTCGGCTGGTTTTTCTCATCTGAATTTTTGGTAATTTATCAGGGCAGTGGGAGCTGCTCGGAGCCACCTTTTTTTAACATTGGTGACTCCTTTTCCTTCCACTGGTGTCACCCAGGAGGGGGTGACAGAACGCCCGTCGCTGCTGGCTGTAGGACAAACTGCCAGAAGTGCTGCTGTGGATACAACATAGAATCATAGAATCGTTCAGGTTGGAAGAGACCCTTGGGATCATCGAGTCCAACCATCTCCCCTACTCTACAAAGTCCTCCCCTACACCATGTCCCTCAGCACTGCATCTAAACGGCCCTTAAACACATCCAGGGATGGTGACTCCACCCCCTCCCTGGGCAGCCTATTCCAATGCCTGACCACTCTTTCGGTGAAAAATTCCTTCCTAATACTTGCAACATCACTTGCATTTGGGCTTTTCCTTCACTTACCTGCTTGTGACTCAGCATTTGAGGAGGATTTCTGTCTGCTACGCCCTGCAGGGCGGAAAGGACAGGAATTCTAGCAAAACAAACCCATTTTTTTTTTCCTCCCCTGGCAGCGCCAGAGGTTTGGGGCAGCTCATTCGGGCCAAGAACATCAAGACAGTGGGTGACCTGAGCACTCTGTCGGCCTCGCAGATCAAAACCCTGCCCATCCGCTCTCCCAAAGTTTCCAACGTTAAAAAAGTTCTGAAAGGATATCACGAGCAACAGGTAAAATTTAATTTTAATAACCTAAAAGTCAGTATTAGCCTAACTGACTTCTAACACCCAGCACGAGGAATGTTTTTGTTCAACCGGTTGAAACGGCGCTTTAAAACGTAATCTCTACCTGTCAAAGTAAGGCAGGAATTCAAGGTAGAGGTGGTTTAGTTACAGTATTATTAACAGGGATAATGATTGGATTTATTACAAGGTTAAAACACACGCATCCCACAATGTAATCCCTTTTTCCTCCTCTTCAGGTAAAATCCCGAGGTTTTGAGGAAATATCAGCACTTGAAGATGCAGAAAAGCCCATAAACAACATAGAGGAGAAATCTCTTTGTGTAGATGAAGAAAAACTCGCAACAGGTACCAGTTCCCTGCCTTCTGCCCCAGGCTGGGCTCTCCCTGCCCTTTCCCTGCTTCCCTTCTCCCCTCCTGGGGGCTCGTGGTCATTTTTGGGAATGTTAATAGCAAATATTGGCACAGGGGATGGGTGATTGAACCAGCCGCTTTATGGAGCCCTATAGAAGTAGCTTTTTAACACCTGTTGCATATTTTGAGGGGAAAAATACTGGTTTTCCCTAAACGTGCTCCCATAAGTGTATTCTCTTCAGGTAAAATCCCGAGGTTTTGAGGAAATATCAGCACTTGAAGATGCAGAAAAGCCCATAAACAACATAGAGGAGAAATCTCTTTGTGTAGATGAAGAAAAACTCGCAACAGGTACCAGTTCCCTGCCTTCTGCCCCAGGCTGGGCTCTCCCTGCCCTTTCCCTGCTTCCCTTCTCCCCTCCTGGGGGCTCGTGGTCATTTTTGGGAATGTTAATAGCAAATATTGGCACAGGGGATGGGTGATTGAACCAGCCGCTTTATGGAGCCCTATAGAAGTAGCTTTTTAACACCTGTTGCATATTTTGAGGGGAAAAATACTGGTTTTCCCTAAACGAGCTCCCGTAAGCATGTGAAATACAAATTAAGTTGGGCTCCAAGTACTTAATTCCCTGAATCTCAGCCAGGTTTGTCTCCAGAGCTTTTCAATAACGGCTGTGGTTCCGGGCACACGCAGAAAGGAGCAGGATGAAGCGGAGATAGTGATGTGGTGCCTCAACCTTGGCGGGGTGGGACTGGGGGGGACCATTCCCTGCATTCCCATTGTGGATTTGGGTGCCTCTTTTTATTTGAATTCTGTGTGTTTGGGGAGTTTGGCCCCATGGCTCAGAGGGGCCAAACTTTGTTCTTCCTGTAAGACTCGAGAAGCATTTGGTTAGTGAATTTGTTCTTCCTGTAAGACTCGAGAAGCATTTGGTTAATGAAATATGAAATACAAATTAAGTTGGGCTCCAAGTACTTAATTCCCTGAATCTCAGCCAGGTTTGTCTCCAGAGCTTTTCAATAACGGCTGTGGTTCCGGGCACACGCAGAAAGGAGCAGGATGAAGCGGAGATAGTGATGTGGTGCCTCAACCTTGGCGGGGTGGGACTGGGGGGGACCATTCCCTGCATTCCCATTGTGGATTTGGGTGCCTCTTTTTATTTGAATTCTGTGTGTTTGGGGAGTTTGGCCCCATGGCTCAGAGGGGCCAAACTTTGTTCTTCCTGTAAGACTCGAGAAGCATTTGGTTAGTGAAGGGAAAAGGAGGCTGAGGGGAGACCTTCTCGCTTTCTCCAATTCCCTGAAAGGAGGGTGTAGCCGGGGGGGGGTCGGTCTCTTCTCCCAAGGAACAGGTGATGGGACAAGAGGAAATGGCCTCAAGTTGCACCAGGGGAGGTTCAAGGTTCGAGATTAGCAAAAATATTTACCCAGAAAGGGTTATGAAGCCTTGGAATGGGCTGCCCAGGGAAGGGGGTGAGGCACCATCCCTGGGGGTGTTCAAAAGACAGGTTGACATGGTGCTGAGAGATAGGGTTTAGTGATAAAAGACGGGTTGACATGGTGCTGAGGGATAGGGTTTAGTGATGGTTGGATTGATGGTTGGACTAGATGATCTTAAAGGTCCCTTCCAACCCAGACAATTCTATGATTCTAATATGGAGAACAAAGAACCCAGGAGTGACTTCTCCTCAGCTTAAAAGTTGAGACTTGGGGATAACACATCTCGAAGTAGTGACAGCATTGGAATAGAATTGAATATTTTCACTTCTGTCCTTTTTATTGTACCGTGATGATCAAATGTAACAAAAGTCACCATAAAGAAGGGTACCGTGGAGTTCTGAGTGCAGCCTTTGTCATAATCTCGTGTATTTTGTGAAAAACGCACTTTTCAGGCTGTTTGAATCTGTTATTTTGTCCAAAAGAAGCTGCAACACCTCTGGGTTGCTTTTAAACCCAAACTGCCCTTTCCTGGGGTTTCCCTCCCTCCTTCCTTCCTTCCCTTCCAGACCTGCTGGATGTGGTCTCCCCGGCCCCGCAGGAGCAGGCGGAGGCGGATCTCCCGGGGCGGATCGAGGCGCTGGCAGCCCAGCTGGCAGCAGAAGACCTGCACAGCTACTCTGGAAGCCAACTCTTCGAGATGCAGGAGAAGCTGGTGGAGATGACAAACTGCATCATGAGGAACCTGCGGGCCCGCTGGAAGTCCCCACCCCACGACGCTTCCGATTAGTTGGGTATTTCTAAGTAAGGAGGATTTTGTTACAAGGATTTTTTTTTTCCGCCCCCCCAGCCTGCTTTTCTCACTGACAAATTATTCCTTAAACTGTGCTTCTTTTTACTATAGAAGATTTTTTTTTTTTAACATCTGTGGTGGGGGTTTTTCGCCCCCCGAGGCGTTTGTGCGGCGTTGCTATGCATATTTCTTTCAGGTAGGGAAAGAAAACTTGATGAAGTTGTGCAATAGCAAAGACTGTGAAACCAAACCGACAGAAGTAGTTAAATTATTATTATTATGATGGGGTATTTTCTTGGTTTGTTTTTTTTTTTCAAATCCGAAGTGTTCTTACTGCTGCAAACTCTTCTCACTTGGTAAGAGATGGATCTCTCAGCTCCGCTCGGCTGCTCTCCCCCTTCATGTCCTCCCGAGCTGCTGCCCCCCACAGACTTTTCTCTCTCTCTCTCTCTCCAGCACCATTTTATACTGAGATATAAACTGTGTTTAATTCCTAACTGGGTGTTTGACAACTGGATGACATCTATTTTTGCATGTATTTTTGTAAGGATCACACTAAGGAGGTTCTCAGGCTCTTTCCCCACGTTCTTTGCTCGCAGCCCTTCTTCTGCAGAGAGCTTCTTGTTGGTTTGTTTTGGTTTGTATTTTTTTTCCTTGGGGAAAGGAATGGATCAGACGAGAGCTCTTTGTATATTATGTACAGACTTTTATCATGGCAGATGTTGGTTAATAATTTATGATTCTTGAGTTTTAATTGCATGGAATGCATTGCTGCTTCTCAGAGACCTTCAGAGGGAGTTCTCGGGTTTTACTCTGGAATCTGTATATATTGTACCGTAGGACCTTTATGGAAAGAAAAGTGCTGCAGGTTGTTTTAGAACTTACACGTGGACAAATAAAACCAGCAAATAGTTCCCAAACTCCTTCACGTCCTTGTGGTTTGGGGTGGGGTTTTTTTTCCCCCTTTTAGGTCTGTTTGGCCCCTCCCGGGGCTTTGCTTTGGAGGGACCTTGGGAGGTCGTTGCCGCTGCCCTGAGGTAGGAGTGGGTCCTCGGGGACAAGGGAGAGCCTTGTCAGTGAGACTCAAAATATTCTTTGTCCTCTTCATGTGTCTGGTGGAGAAAAGGAAGAGGACAAAGAGGTGTCTTGGAGCAACAATGTCAACGGTGCTGGTGAGGAGTTGGCTGTAGGTTTTCTTCCCTGAAAATGTTATTTTGGTTCTAAATCTGCCTCCGTGAGGCTTGTGCAACTCAACAATGGTTTAGTGATGATGCTCCTTGTTTGTTGTGTGGGTGTCTATTTTTGTCAGTTGGGTTGACGGTTGGACAAGATGATCTTTAAGGTCCCTTCCAACCTAGAAGATTCTGTGATTCTGTAACTCTTGTTCAACTCAACTCTTGTTCAACTCAACTCTTGTTCAACTCAACTCTTGTTCAACAGTGACCTGTGCAGATGAGGATGTTCCTGAGGCATCTCAGGAGGGTGTTAAGGTCTTTAACCACCACCCATCAGTGCTGGCAACCCCAGGTTCTCCTTTGAGGAAGGGCTTCCCTTTCCAGCTGGCTCTGCCCACCCCACCCTTCCCTTCATCAATGCCCTCATCTTAACGCTGTGGCTCTGGCTGCTCTTCACTGGTTTTTTTTTAGTCTTTAGTCTCTCTTGGACACAGTATCCTGTGGTTTCTTATCTCCTCCTGCCTTGGAGAGTGGCTGGTAGCAGAAACCAGTGTGTTCCAGTATGAACTAACTTCTCCAGTTCATTCACAGCCCCTCGGAGTCACGCTTCTCCGCTGCCCTCTGGCTTCTTGCCCTTTCCCAACAGCATCATTCCCACCGGAGCCACTTTGGGATTGATTCCCTGCCCTTCAGCAGGAGTGACCACACCAGACCTGCTGCAGAAACAGCGGCTTTATTCAGGCACTCATTGACATGAAATAACAGCTTTTGACCCCAGGACAGTTGCATGAAAAAAAAAACATGTATCAAGCAAAAGGAGAGGGGGTTTGTGGGGCTATTTTCCTCTCCCCAAGCTAAATTTTTGTGTTGAGATATTAAGCTTAAATGTTGCTTTTATGGAAAAGAAGTGAGTATATTCAAACACTTTAGAATAGCCTGGAAAAACACTCTCTTTATGAGAGAATGAGTAAAGTAAATCTTGGCAGTTTTAGTCTTGCGTAGATGTGTAGAATTTCAGAGAGGCAGAACCGGGTTGCAGTTCCAGCAGAGTCAAACCTTGGGATGTGGTGGTGAAATGTTTGAAAATCCAGGCAACTTTTAAAAAATATGTTGGTTGGTTTGTTTTTTTTGACACTGGCAGAACCACAGTTCTGACGAGCGATGCCCAGGGCTGTGTTTACGAGTAGTTTTCAACAATGTTTTGACAGGATGTTTCAAGAGTGTTTTGCTCTGCAAAGTTACTTTTTTCTATTTTTTTTTTTTAATTTTATTTTATATTTTTTTTTCCTGGTGGTTCCTAAGGCACTATCAGGGGTGGGTTTGGTTAGATGGCCTCCACGTAGTTGGCGGGGAGCATCCCGGTCTTGCCGGTTCTCTGGACGGTGCCGTACATCCAGCCCTCGTCGATGGCCTGCACGTTCACGATGGTGTCACCATCCTTGAAGGACACCTCGTCGGCGTCGGCCGCCATGTAGTCGTACATGGCCCGGTAGGTTTTCTGGAGATGGGAAAGGGGGGCAAAGAAAGGAGAGACACCTTTATAGCCCTGGGGTCACTCTTGGGGGGGAGAACAAAATGTAATTCCATGGGTGTTGACTCATTCCAGTTCCAGAAATGGTGTTTCTCATTCACTAAGGAGCTCAGTTGCCCAAGTACCACCGTACTTGAGTTACAGCCTCAGTGCTTGAGTGCCACTGAAGCTGAACAAGATGTTTTTGGGGTGTGTTCTTGAGCAGCATCAGCTTCAGGTGGCTCCAGCAGTCACTTGAAGGTGGTGCCTTCAAGTGTGGGGAGGAGAGGCCATACCCATGGTCACATCTACTCTTAAGACTCAGCCTCAAGAGCAGGAACAAGCATTAACTTAAGATCTTCAAGAACAGATGAGGCTTGTTCCTGGATGATGGAGATGCACCACCAGCTTTGGAGCCCTCCCAGGCTCCAAACCTTTGGTAGGTGGCCAGATGATTGAAGTTTATGATTGGGTCTTCCCACAATTGGCTCCATGTTACTTACCCCAGCAGTGGAGGGGTGAGAAGGCACCGATGACACCGTGGTTTGCTGGGTGGCGACCGAGGATGAGCGCTGTTGGGGCAACTCTATGGTCTTGGCGTGTTTGTAGCCCACTAGGGGAGGAAAATACATTCAAATTGTTAGAGAATTGGTGGTGGGGGGAGAGTGGTGCTCAGTGAGGGTCACGGGACAGGCCAGGAGGTGGGTCCAATCTGCCTGTCACCCCCTGAAACACAACCTCACACCCGTTGGGGATGTCTACGCTACGAATAAATGGCATTTTTGCCCCGTACCCGTGGCGGTGGTGGTGAAGAAGCCCCCGTTGCTGTAGTAGGACAAGTGTTGATCCACGGCGTCGGAGGGTTCGGATTTCTCCTCCCCACCACTGAGGCTCAAGGCGCTGGCCGAGCGGGAGTGCTCCCGGCTGCGGCGCTGGGCTTGGACTGCAGGAGAGAGGGGTTTGGGGAGGACATGCACAGGTAAAAGTACATAGATAGGTGTATACATGCAAATATACATTATTTTGTGTGTATATACACACACGTATGTATATGTGTGCATACGTATTCCATAAAAATACCCAAAGTTCTCTACAACGGTTACCAAACCCACCCAAACTGCTCTTATATCCAGTAGAAAAGAGCTGGTTACTACACAGTTTAAAACTACACAGTTACCACAAAGTTTAAACTTTGTTTTAAACTACAAAGTTTATGGGGAAAATGCATGAGAATTCGTAGCTCTGTTTTTAAGGTTTCTCAATGGATTTGCCAGGGTTTTCTTAACATATTCCGTGGACACCCTGCTGAAGTTCTGCTCCAAACGGCACAGTTGTTCTGTCCCTCTTATCTTTATATTCAGAATATTAATTTTTCTTTTCTCCAAACTCCTTTCCTTCACTGCCAGCTGCTTCCAAAATGTTGATGCCCATTATCCCACACTCCTGTCATTCGGGATCTACCTCTTCTCCAACCAGCAGTAGGAAAGGAGTTTTAAAAGAGGAAGAAATAAAAAATAAGGGGGTGACTGAGGCACAGTATTTTAAAATTCTTTAAAAAGGAAGCCTGTGTCAGTGTCCCCAAGCCATTGGTTTTGCTGTGGCACAGACCTGAGATCATGTGCAGGCTCCTGGACTGAATGTTGTCTTCGGCGGGGTCGTAGTCGAAGACGGAGCCGGGGTTGGTGCGCCAGACACGGAGACCTGGGGGAGAAACAGCATCTGCTGAGGAGGGGCTGGAGCTCCAGGGGCTCTCCCAGAGCAGGAGCAGCACAGGGCTGTCCCTGGCAGGAGGGAGAGACTGACAGAAAAGGGCAAGCAGTAAAGTTGTGTTTCTCAAAGCTGTAGCACAGGTTAGGCTTTTGTTTTCTTATAACTTGATATCAAGTGAGCTATCCATATTATTTCTCTAGTATGAATAGAAATGTGTGTAATGATAGGACAAGGGGAAACAGTTTTAAATTGGAAGAAAAAAGATTCAGATTAGATCTCGGGAAGAAATTTTTTACTCTGAGGGTGGTGAGACACTGGAACAGGTTGCCCAGGGAAGTTGTGGCTGCCCCATCCCTGGAGGGGTTCAAGGCCAGGCTGGATGGGGCCTTGAGCAACCTGGTGTGGTGGGAGGTGTCCCTGCCCAGGGCAGGGGGGTTGGAACTCGATGATCTTTGAATCACAGAATTGTAGTGGTTGGAAGGGACCTCAGAGATCATCGAGTCCAACCACGAAAAAAAAAACAACAAAAAACCACAACACACACCACCACCCACCCCCTAAACACACAACAACAACCATCACACCAAAAAACCATCACCCACCCACACATCTCACCACAAACCAATAATCTTGGGCACTAGAGCATGCCCTGAAGAGCCAAGGTCCCTTCCATCCCAAACCAATTCTATGGTTCTATGATTCTATGAAATGGCATTAAAAATCTAACGAAGAATTATAAATCTAGTGTTATGTTATGAAGTTGGGCAGAAGAGGACAGGCTGACCAGGGCTGATTCACAGCTGCTGTTAGAGGGTATTTCCAAAATAGACTGATGGAAACGTCACCTCGAAGCAATGAGAAATTGGGATTGCTCTGGCTGAGCTTAAACAAAACAGTTCACCCCGGTCCATCTGTGCTGTGTGTGAATGAAGCTCTGGTGTTGGTCTGAAGCTGGGGCTGTGTTTACCTGTCAGAGTCTCCTGGTCCTGGTCCACGCGCTTCCGCTCCATTTCCACCACGCGCCGCTGGATGCCCCTGTAGCTGATGTCACTGAAGTCCTGCATGTTCTTCTTCACCCGTTCCGTGATGGGGTCGGTGACGACGGGCGTGAAACTGCCTTTGCTCTTCTCAAAATCTTCGTGGTATTTCCCCTTCCAATTCAAATGAAACATGTTAGATTGGAGATGAGGAGCGGGTTCTTCACTGTGAGGGTGGTGGAGCACTGGAACAGGTTGCCCAGGGAAGTGGTTGAGGCCCCATCCCTGGAGATATTCAAGGAGAGGCTCGACGAGGCCCTGGGCAACCTGGTCTAGTTGGGGGTGTCCCTGCTGACTGCGGGGGGGTCAGACTAGATGGCCTTTGGAGGTCCCTTCCGGCCTGGGCAATTCTATGATTCTATGTTCTCTGTAGCTGAGGTGGATCACTTTGATTCCTGCTGAGCTCGGTGAATTACTAGTGTTGGGGGGACCCTGTGCTCTCAGCTTTGGCTTTCTCCACCCCAAGGAGCAATGAGAGCGAGCCCCTG